TTATGTACAAAATAAATTACAAATAACGCGGAAAAACACACATAATAGTACAATTGGTTAGAGGGCTGTAAAACGGCAGCCATCTTTTCCGGCGCTGTTCTTACCTGTGCCGCTTCGTGTGTAAGGCAGGGTCGTACTCTCCGAATGTTGTAGAGCATGAACCTACAGGATCGGGTCACCGCCTTGATGTTAGCGGAGAACGACAGGGTGTTGTCCAGGGTCACGCCAAGGCTCTTCGCACTCTGGGAGGAGGACACAACGGAGTTGTCAACCGTGATGGCGAGATCATGGAACGGGCAGTCCTTCCCCGGGAGGAAGAGCAGCTCCGTCTTGCCAAGGTTCAGCTTGAGGTGGTGATCCGTCATCCATACTGATATGTCTGCCAGACATGCAGAGATGCGATTCGCCACCTGTTTATCAGAAGGGGGAAAGGAGAAGATTAGTTGTGTAACGTCAGCGTAGCAATGATAGGAGAGGCCATGTGAGGATATGACAGAGCCAAGTGACTTGGTGTATAGCGAGAATAGGAGAGGGGCTAGAACTGAGCCCTGGGGGACACCAGTGGTGAGAGCACGTGGTGCGGAGACAGCTTCTCGCCACGCCACTTGGTAGGAGCGACCGGTCAGGTAGGACGCAATCCAAGAGTGGTGCATGCGATACAATTGCCTCCCCTTACTACTAGCATCCCACTCCCTTTGCCAAAGATTGAGCCCTTTTGCCCGGATCAAGGACTTAACTTCCCTGCGGCCCAGCGGGACCTGAATATCTACCCCCTCTCTCCTCACAGCACTCTTAGCCACCACATCAGCCTTCTCATTACCCTCCACACCCACATGGGCGGGAACCGAGCAAAAGCTTACCACCACTCCCATACTCTCCAATCCCATTAAACAAGTCTCCCCTATCCGACCTGCCTGTCTTCACACTGCGTAACACTGCAGCTGAATCAGAGTAGATCACGACTGAGTGACTCACCTCCTCCACCCATCTCAAACCTATAACCAATTCTGCCGCATACAGTGGCTTGCGAAAGTATTCACACCCCTTGGCATTTTTCCTATTTTGTTGCCTTACAACCTGGAATTAAAATAGATTTTTTGGGGGGTTGTATCATTTGATTTACACAACATGCCTACCATTTTGAAGATGCAAAATATTTTTTTGTGTGAATAAAACAAGAAATAAGACAAAAAAACGTCAAACTTGAGCGTGCATAGAAGTGCCGAATCGACTGAACTGCACCATACAAATTAAATAACACTTATTCATTCCCCCCTCGTTAGAATTTTTGATTGAGAAAGCTAATTACGGGTGAGCTATATTATAATACCATAGCGAATCCGAGTGTCCCATCTGGGGTTGGCATAATGACAGCACAGATCTGACTATTGGACATAATAGCAATTACAGCTGCAAGTCTCTTGGGGTATGTCTCTATAAGCTTGGCACATCTAGCCACTGGGATTTTTGCCCATTCTTATTCCATTTAAATCACAGGTTGTAATGCAACAAAATAGGAAAAACGCCAAGGGGGATGAATACTTTTGTAAGGCACTGTACAATGACACATAATCAGTTAGGACGGGACACCATCCTTCAACACACCCTGTAACTCTTCTGAAGTCATATCTGGTATACACAAATACTTCTCTACATCTGCCACCATATCTATTTTCTGTGATTTACGTTCCATTTCTGCAGTACAGTTGATAACCATTGCTATGAATGCTAAGAAGCTAACCTTACTGAAGCATAAATCACTCATTGCCCTATCCCTCTGTGCTGGCACAAATCTACTACTCACTGGGATCCTCTCAGCATCCCTCACCCTTGACCAATCCTCCTCTACTTTCTTCATTGCCTCAGCATACGACACCTTCTGCACTACTCTGACCACTTCAACCTGGCTCTCCCGCACCGGACACTTCCGATTCCCAGCAACATGAGCACCCCTAGAGTTGACACACACAAGTTAATCCACCGAAACGACACAATCTTCTGTCCCATGCCCTCCTGCACACATCCCACATCTTGGAATCACCCTCCTACACGCTGCTGCGAAATGACCATAAACGTTGCACCTGAAACAGCACAGTGGATTCTGCACAGGATAACTGAAATATCCTAACATGACTGTCTGGTAGAGACTCTGACTCAAACCTCAAAAGGACTGACAGTGACTCCTATGGTTCACCACACTCCCGACCGGTTCTGCATCGCACCAAACAACAGGTGTCACAAACACCTGGGATTTTCTACTTAAATTGCTCCACTGCCACACTAGCCTAAAAAATCACTTAATGGTGCCCTGTTCCTATGAGCAAAGCAAGAAACAGATCTTGACCCAAGTTGTGACACGGAGCGCCTGCTCCCTCTGGTCAGAAGAAACACAAACAAATATCACAAGTCCACTACAGGTTACTGTCACTGATTCAACTGAACCAAACTCCTTTCTCACCCACCCTGAAACCACAAATGGATCCGCCAAAAGGCAAGGGTCCACTTTCTCCAAAAATGGCACTCCTACTGGTCTTCTTTATCATGTCTGGCGCCATTTTTCCTCAACACACATCTTCAAACTACACGCTCTTCTCCTTCTTCCTCGCTGTACATAACCACGTCTATCTGTTCACCGCGCTCTTGCCGCGCCTTCATCCGTTGTACTGCTTGCAGAACACGCACTAATGGCCTTTCTCCAATACCCACCTTCTGTTCCTTAGCCCAATTTACAAGTGTGGCTGTCTCTGACCTCTCCATGCTTCCTTCACCTCCACACACGTTCCGTTAAAGGACCTCTACACCACTTTATTCTGTTACCTAATCCTCTATTTCCATTCAAATAAAGCCCTACAAACCTCAAAGGTTTTCGTTGTTGAAATCCTTCTAAATAAGTCATGTCCTGTAGTCTTTATAAATGAATAATGAACATCAAACGTGATCAAACATGTGTATCAAAAATTATTAGTTCTATTTTTGTTTTGATTTTAAGCCCAAATTGCCAACCATGTGGTACCTGATTCACATTACAGAGCAAAACAGAAACATACTAGGCTGGCTTGGAGATTGTATTTTTACATGTTCCTTTCCGGCACAGTTCCACCAACTATGTGGTACATAACCAGGCCACCCAGTACAGCTAAGCTTGGCTAGGGTCATCATTGTTCTTACTGCTGGGCTTTATTTGTGGACAATTAGCTGAAATACAGTCAACTTTGCTATAGAACATACATACTGCACTATATACAATTATCTGTACATTGTATTGAAATAACGGGGGGGGGGGGGGGGGGGGGGGTGTATTTTACTAATACTAACCAAAACCAATACTATCCAAAACCACAAAGATTACACACCCACTCTTAATGCTGATATTTATTTGGAAAATCTTTCAATTTGTACACATACAAAATAATAACTAAATGGACCATTGTGTACATTCTAATGGGTTTCCTGTGTTATATTTATTTTAATTAATCTTCTACACATATTGCAGTTTGTAAATTATATTCACAATCGGTTGCTGCAGCTAAACTACAATGCTGAGAAGTGAGAAGAAAATCAACATTTTCTCTGCATATAAATACAATTCAAAAGAGAAAATTGCCAGGGTCATACTTGAGTAAAAGTAGTTACCTTAATAGAAAATGACTCAAGTAAAAGTGAAAGTCACCCAATAAAATACTACTTGAGTAAAAGTCTAAAAGTATTTGGTTTTAAATACACGTAACTATCAAAAGTAAATGTAATTGCTAAAATATACTTAATTATCAAAAGTAAAAGTATAAATAATTTAAAATTCCTTATATTAAGCAAACCAGGCGGCATGATTTTCTTGTTTTTTAATTGTATTTACGGATAGCCAGCGGCACACTCCAACACGCCAACATAATTTACAAATGAAGTATTTGTGTTTAGTGAGTCCGCCAGATCATAGGCAGTTGGGATGACCAGGGATGTTCTCTTGATAAGTGCGTGAATTGGGCCATTTTCCTGTCCTGTTAAGCATTCAAAATGTAACGAGTACTTTGGGTGTCAGGGAAAATGTATGGGGTAAAATGTACATTATCTTCTTTAGGAATGTAGTGGAGTAAAAAAGTAAAGGTTGTCAAAAATATAAATAGTAAAGTATAGATACCCAAAAAAACGACTTAAGTAGTACTTTAAAGTATTTTTACTTAAGTACTTTACACCACTGAAAATTACATGTGGCATGACTAATACCACACAGAATATGCTTAATTGACTTGAAGCACAGGATAAACACCAATCAATTCTCCACAAGGAATACAATCTAAAACAACACATTCATCATAATAAAGAGTCAAAATAAAAGTCAATTTCCATTGCAGTACTAAAAGTAAATTCAGTAGAAAAATATGGTGAGAAGAGGTTGCTGGTGTAATTTACTGGATTCGAGACCAGGTCTCCTGTGCACCACAAGACTGTGTTAAACTGCTGAGCTTAAGCCTGCGCATCAATCACCTTGTGAAACCAAGTCTTCAGGTCTCAGGCTGGGTTACTTAAACAAGAAAATGTACACACAAAAGCTGGACTCAACCAACTACTCACTGTAAAAAAAACTTTGCGCATCACACGGCGTAATTTGTTTTTGTTTTAAAACAATGTTTTTTCATATGTCTTTGCAGGTGTTTTTTTGTGAGATAGCGTAACTTGCATAAAGTGCATGCAAATGGCCGTTCTCCTGTATGAATCTGTCTATGGGATTTCAGACTGCCCTCTGTAGTAAAACGTTTGCCACAGTCTGTGCAAAGGAATGGCCGACCTTCTGTATGAATCAATCGATGGCGCTTCAGACTCCGCCTTCTGCTAAAACCTTTGCCACAGTCTCTGCAAGGGAAAGGGCGCTCTCCTGTGTGTGCTCTGATATGTTCTTTCATTCGAAACAGCATTAGGAAATCCTTACCACATATTTCACAAAGATAGGGTTTCTGAGTGGAGGGTATATTGGTGGTTATAAGGTTTAAAGAGCTGTGGGACTGCGGAATCTCTGTCTCAATCTCCCTTGTTGCCAGAGAGCTGCTGCCATCTGCAACATTAACATCCCTTGGGTGCTGGTTTGGATCGACTCCCTCACTTGACTCCCTCAAGTCTTGCTGTGGTCTCTGAAAACACTCTTTTTTATGCTCCCTCAAATGAGAGTTCTTTATGAAATTTTCTCCACAGCCCAGGCACTGGTAAGGGAGCTGACCATGTTGGGATTTGAGGTGCTTTCTCATAAAAAATGTACTGTCAAAAGTATTGTGACACAAGCGGCATGTTCTGGCTTTGATGGACTCCTTGGGTTGGAGACTTGAAGTGGGATGGCGCTCTTTCCTATGTTCTTTCAAATTAATCTTCTTCTTGAAATTTTCTCCACAGTGGAGGCATTGGTAAGGGAGCTGAGCATGTTTGGAATTCAGGTGCGTTCGCATTAAAGCTATACTGTTGAAAGTCTTGTGACACAGACGGCATGTTCTGGCTCTGAAAGAGTATCTTTGATTGCGACAAACATTGGAAGTGTTGTGGGGCTGGGATGTCTCTATCTCCTCCTCAAAAGATGGTCTAAATGTGTTATCCTCTTCTAGTTGAGCTGCCTCCTCACGCACATACTGCAGATGTTTCTGTAAGTTCTCCTGATGTTCAAAGCTTTGCAAACACTGCATGCACTGGTAAGTGTGAGATCTCCAGTGTGCTTTCAAATCGTGTACTTTAATGAATGCTTTATTACACATCGAGCAAGAGTGAAGCCTCTTTGCAGCTAAGCACGCTTTATGCTCTTTCAAATTAGACCTTTTCTCATGAGATCTCATGTGTGCTGTCAACCCCCTTGCTTCAATGAAAGTCTTCTTGCAGAGAGAGCAAGATAATAGCTTTTTCACCACCAAGCACTCTTTTTTATGCTCCTTCAAATTACACCTTTCCTCAAACTTTTCTCCACAGCTGAGGCAGGAAAACATAGTGGGGCACTTTTTTTTATGCTCCTTCAAATGACATTTCCTCTTAAAATTTTCTTCACAATCACCGCACTGGTAAGGTAGCTGATCATGTTGGGATTTGAGGTGCTTTCTCATTAAATATGGGCTGCCGAAAGTCTTGTTACACAAACGGCATGTTCTGGCTTTGGAGGACAGAGTGGGATGGCACTCTGCCTTATGTTCCCTCAAATTAAACTTTCTCTTGAAATGTTCTCCACAGTCGTGGCACTGGTAAATGAGCTGATCATGTTTGAAAATCAGGTGCTTTCTCATTGAATATACAGTATAGAAAGTCTTGTGACACACGTGGCATGTTCTGGATTTGGAGGACTGTCTTGGAGTGGGACGAACTTTGGAAGTTATTGGGCTCAGGGGTGAAGTGCCATGGGGCTTGGATATCTCTATCCCTTCCTCAAAAGATGTTGTAGACATGTTATCCTCTTCAAAAGATGCCGTAGACATGTTGTCCGCATCTGGTTGAGGTGCCACCTCACACCCAATCTGTTGATGTTTCTGTAAGTCCTCCTGATGTTCAAAGCTTTGCAAACACTGGGTACACTGGTAAGGACTCTGCTCAGTGTGAGATCTCATGTGTGCCATCAAATCTTCTGCTTCAATAAAAGTCTTCCCACATAAGGAGCACATTTTCACACGCTTGCTTCTGTTACACTGCCCCATTGTATAGGATGGGTCAGGCGTCAAAGAATACTGAGGTACACTCTTTATCCTCAATGTCGGAGAGGAGACAGGTAACAGCATATCAGTAATGTCAAGTCTGTGCAGCAGCACTGTGGGCTGAAGGAACAGACAGGAAGTAGACAAACTAGAACTGTCCTGCACTTCCAGTTGGCTGCTGTGATGGTTTCCTTGGATTTTCAGCCCACTGTCAGTCTGAGGTTGGTGAAAATGTCTGTTCATTTCAAACTCGTTGTCAGATGAAGCAGAGCTTTGAATGTTCATAAACCCCTGCATAGGTTCTGATTGGATCTCTGTTTCAAAGATCTCAACTGTTTCTAGGAGCGACAGCGAGGAGAGGATGTGGTTGTCACTCGAAGATAGAGCTAAGGACAATAAAAGACAAGTCAATATCAAAACATGCAAATCAAACATTAGAAATGTTATATATCAAACAAACCCAGATCGTTATTTTGTAGTTTTCGGACACAAATCAATGACTTTTGAAATTCACAATAAACAACCAGCTGTCGGATGAAATCCTTGTAACTCCATTTTTGTACATGTATTGAAAGCAGTAACTCCCCTCTATGTACTCTGAACATTTCATAACTATAGGACCAAGAAAATGTATTCTAAATAGCTTCTGAAGATTCATAATTGTATGTTTGTTAATTAAATCATGGCAGTTTTTGTAAATTTCTGAAAATGGTCTGTTTTGGAGATAGAGGTTTTCATCTGACAGCGACAAAAAAGCTCCAAGTAACATATATAGCATACTCACTATACATTTCAGATACAATGGATAGCATTATTTCATTTTCTAAGTCTACCTCTTACCATTGGTGTCCAGATGTCTATATGGCTTGTGGTACTGGAGAAGGGTCTTCAATGACTCAGGGTGACACACTGACTGCACGCACTCCTCTAGAACAGAGTGGTCAGGTAGGAACCATGATGCAGTCTATTGGAAAGAGGAATGTCTTTGAAGAGCAATAGACAAAGTTATCATATGCATGCATTTTTTGTATAAAAACATGCATGAAAGTAGGCTGATGATGGTAATAACATGTTAGTATGGTACCTGATGAAGGGTTGGTGTTGGAAGCAGCTTCTCCAGCCTAGACAGGAACTCCCACACCAGACTCTGCAGTGTGGAGTCATACTTGGGTCCGAATTCCTCTAGAAAAACGTTCTAAGAAATAAACAAGAGAACTATGTCTGTGCTTTTGAGTACTATTTTGTTAACCTACTCCAAGTGAAAGAAAGATAGAAAGCCACGTCTTTCCGAATAATTGATCAACTACACAGTCAGTGACAACACTGACCTGGAAGAAGTGTTCCCTCTTAACTGGGTCTTCCAGCAGGCTTTGAATCAGCTTCAGGAAGTTGGATTTTGATGCCTCCACCTCTGGATCAGGAGTCTACAGCAAGCATTACACACAGTCTGTCAATTTAACTGGCCAATGTACAACACCAGCAGAGTTACAAGTCTTGATATTACACTGAGTAGCAGCACTCACCTCATTTTTCCTAAGAGTGATGATACAGGTCCTCATCCTGTTCAGGTGTGGCTGGATGGTCTTGGGGTCAGCTAGCTGATCTGTATGACACAACTCCAGAACCAGCTGATGAAATTCAATTAATTTAAATCTGAAGGTTAGAAACTTTATGCATTATATGCCCTGTGCTGTAACAAGTGTCCCATCCCTCCTCTCCCTTTCCATCCGTCCCATCTCTCACCTGTGCTCGCAGCCCCATGATGAGTTGGACTCGCTCTCTGTAACTCATCAGATCAGGAACTACCTCCAACACAGTGGTGACAAACTCCTCCACCAAGCCATAGTCCATTATGTCTCTCCGCTGAACAACTTGCCACAGAGCTGCAGACACTAGACGCAGTGGAGGAACAAAAAGACGCAAAGACGACAGTGGAAGAGGTCCATCTACACAAAGCACAAATTCTGAAAGTTAGCTTGATGACAAAGACAATGTTAGGTAGCCCTAACAATGTTAGGTATGCAAGCAGTTATAGGACTATTTGAGCTATTTGATAGATTACATTTAGCTACTGTGAAGCGTCATGTTATTATTGTTGTTTTTACTATAGCCTTGGTCGATGTCGATACCTTTAACCTAGACTATAGCTAGTGTATAATAACACTGTTAGTACACAGTTGTTGAAGCAATGTGTGACCCTCATAGTTTTTGTTGGTCGCCACTCTTAGCAGCTAGTTCTCAAACTATAGGTTGCATTCTGGCTTCTCCCTACAGTTTTCAGCCATTAGCTTTGCCTACGACTGCCTCATGTTAACTACAATTCCGACGCTATGTTTTAACGTTTAGAAACGTCAATAATCATCGCTTGTTATTCGGCTTTCGAAACATATGGCCCTTGTCTTTCATCAGCGAGAAAGAATACTTCAAAGAAAAAATATACACTTACTGTAGCAGCTCTGCACAGATCCATACAGCTATAGTTACCACCAAACTGACGAAACTACACTTCCCGAGTTACACGTACACACAGGTGTTCGGCAGCTAATTAGCACAGGTGGTCGCCTCTTGTCTTCCGTAAACAAGCGCTGTAACTTGGAGATATGGCCATGTGGGAACACTAACCCTAACAAGGTGTGTATAATTTTTGTTTTTTTATTATTTCTCGCTGATATGAAAGATAAGGTCCTTATGCTCCCAAAACCGTACCGCAAGCGACGCGTGTTTAATGTTCTGATTGAGTTTCGAGGCTCTTCACAAAATTCCCCCGTACAGAAGACGCCTTCGTCCAATGACTCTTACGTGTAATGTAATGGAACTGAGAGTCATGATCAAGGACTAGTGCGTAGCTAGCTAGCTAAAGTTAGTTTGTTTAGGAAAATCTCTGCAGAGGTGACCACTGCCTATCCATTTACCTTCCTCCAGGGGCTGGTTTTGCATTTCGAGGTCCCCGTGTCAATGTTACAATAGTCTAGCCTAGAGTCAGACTACCTAGGTAGCGTTTTGCTAGTAGAAATGTGAGCTTTCTCATCCCACCACTCAAGAGTCGAGAGCCTCGTTTCAGGAAGGAGGTGGGTGTAACCCGGATGTTCAGTTACACAACGCGGAAATACGGGATAGAGTGATTCGCTAAACTGAAAAGTAAAACAATCAGTTGAAAATTAAGGGCAAATACTTATCGGAGTATATTACTACGACTGTAATCAAAATCGGTAAGAAATAACACAATTCCCCTCTAAATAATAGTTGTTAATATTTGTGTACCGTCCTTGTATGTATTCTCCGTTTGTTATATTGTTTCAACAATATTTTGTAACTGCATCGTTGGGAAATAGCTCGTAAGTAAACATTTCACGGTAAAGTCTACACCTGTTGTATTCGGCGCATGTGACAAATACGATTTGATTTATGTTACCTAGCTAGTTACGTTACAGTAGTCAGCTATCTAACTAGAAATACTAGCGAGTAAGCTACTAAAATGCACCAGCCATTGCTGCTAGCATTTTCCAATTACTGACTGTACTGTTGTTTTGTCATCTAAGTTAGTAGGCTGGATACATTACATTTTTAACAACACTTTTTTCTGATAAAAACTAGGTCATTGCATCCGCCGTGGAGCCCAGCCGCTTGCCGTAGTTGTGAAATAATCACAAAAAACAGGCCTTATTTTAGGACATTTTTCACCATGCCACCTCCTATTAGTTATTTTGAGCACCAACTCGCCTTCCGAATGTTTTATTCCCAGTCCATTGTTCTACGTCACAATGCCTGCTTCGCTATTGATGACAATGAGACCTGCCCAGGTTGAACCAATTGCTGATAGTTAAAACGTCAACAACAAGAAATTACTCATGGAACTCTGAGGTCGTCCCATTGTTTCCTATAGGGGAAATATCTCGCAATGTGTATATTTAGATTTTTCCAAGTAGGACACCATTTTAATCACGACAATCTCCTCTTTCTAATTATGTAAGGCTGGGCATCGTACTCCGTTGTCTTCTTCTTCGATGAGGTTTAAACGGCGGTTGGCATCCAATTTGTTGCATTACCGCCACCTACTAGACTGGAGTACAACTCCCTTATATTTTGCTTAATAATAATATGCCATTTAGCAGACGCTTTTATCCAAAGCGACTTACAGTCATGTGTGCATACATTTTTTTACGTATGGGTGGTCCCGGGGATCGAACCCACCACCCTGGCGTTACAAGCGCCATGCTCTACCAATTGAGCTACAGAGGACCAGATTTGCTTGAAAAATAAAATAAAGAAATACCCTACCATTTAACACTACACTCACAAATTCAAAAATATTATTAATAATGAACACCGCCCTACTTCACTATTTAAATATTTTAATTCCTACCTCATGCCCTCAACCTGAAATGATGGGACGTGGTCCTCTGTAGCTCAGCTGGTAGAGCACGGCGCTTGTAACGCCATGGTAGTGGGTTCGATCCCCGGGACCACCCATACACAAAAATGTATGCACGCATGACTGTAAGTCGCTTTGGATAAAAGCGTCTGCTAAATGGCATATTATTATTATTATCACCACTTAACACTCCCTGTAACTCTTCTGATGTCAAGTCTTGCACCCCCAAATACCTCTCTGCAGCTGCCACCACAACCTCAATTTTCTTTGACTTACGTTCCATCCCTGCAGTACAATTGATAACCATTGCTATAAATGCTAAAAATCCAATCTTACTGTAACATATATCACTTGTTGGCCTATCCCTCTGTACTGGTGCATATCTACTACTCTCACCACTCCTCCCCCTTGACCCATCTTCCTCTACTTTCTTGACTGCCTCAGCATATGACAACTTCTTCACTACTCTTACCCTGGAAACCTCAACCTGCCTCTCTCGCACAGGACATTTCTGATCCCCAGCCCCATGGGCACCCCTACAATTGGCACATACCACTACTTTCCCCAATGCTACACATTCCTTTGTCTCATGCTACTCCGTTGTCATTGATCGCTAGACCAGAAGTTGCCATTTTTTCCTACTTCCTCATTATGCAGACTTAAGCACAGTTGATACCATCGAGGTGTGGATGTTTACTTTATACACGAGTTGTTATTTTTCAGTTTCGTCCTAAAAACAGATTGTAGTGGGAAAAATTAAAAGGTATACATTTTTTGGTGCCATTTAGGCAAAATTGAATTCTAAGCATAATCCCAGTCAAAATAGGCTCTACGAATGTTCAATTCAATTAATTTGCTATGGGCTCGCGGTAGTGTTCCAGCTTAGCCAACGTTCTATTGCCGTTTTTCAGCCTTGGGTGAATTTTGACTCGTACTATTGTCCAGCCTAATCTAAGTTAGCTAGCTAACTACTGTAGCTAGCTAATTTATGAGCTGTCTGTCATATGGTTGTGTTGAACTGGTAGACTTTGTTGTACTCTTAACTTAGGCAGTGCACTGAAACTTAACGTCCTAGATAGAAACCTAGCTAGTTAGTAGTTAGCTAGCTAGCTAACTTTACGCCAGTGACAGTTTTGGATGGACACAGACAGCTATACTGAACAAAAATATAAATGCAACAATTTCAAAGATTTTGCCGAGTTACAGTTCATATAAGGAAATCAGGCAAATTAAATGAATTCATTAGGCCCAATGTTGGTCACAGATACAGTGAGGGAAAAAAGTATTTGATCCCCTGCTGATTTTGTACGTTTGCCCACTGACAAAGAAATGATCAGTCTATAATTTTAATGGTAGGTTTATTTGAACAGTGAGAGACAGAATAACAACAAAAATATCCAGAAAAACGCATGCCAAAAATGTTATAAATTGATTTGCATTTTAATGAGGGAAATAAGTATTTGACCCCCTCTCAATCAGAAGGATTTCTGGCTCCCAGGTGTCTTTTATACAGGTAACGAGCTGGGATTAGGAGCACACTCTTAAAGGGAGTGCTCCTAATCTCAGTTTGTTACCTGTATAAAAGACACCTGTCCACAGAAGCAATCAATCAGATTCCAAACTCTCCATCATGGCCAAGACCAAAGAGCTCTCCAAGGATGTCAGGGACAAGATTGTAGACCTACACAAGGCTGGAATGGGCTACAAGACCATCACCAAGCAGCTTGGTGAGAAGGTGACAACAGTTGGTGCGATTATTCGCAAATGGAAGAAACACAAAATAACTGTCAATCTCCCTCTGCCTGGGGCTCCATGCAAGATCTCACCTCGTGGAGTTGCAATGATCATGAGAACGGTGAGGAATCAGCCCAGAACTACACAGGAGGATCTTGTCAATGATCTCAAGGCAGCTGGGACCATAGTCACCAAGAAAACAATTGGTAACACACTACGCCGTGAAGGACTGAAATCCTGCAGCGCCCGCAAGGTCCCCCTGTTCAAGAAAGCACATATACAGGCCCGTCTGAAGTTTGCCAATGAACATCTGAATGATTCAGAGGAGAACTGGGTGAAAGTGTTGTGGTCAGATGAGACCACAATCGAGCTCTTTGGCATCAACTCAACTCGCCGTGTTTGGAGGAGGAGGAATACTGCCTATGACCCCAAGAACACCATCCCCACCGTCAAACATGGAGGTGGAAACATTATGCTTTGTGGATGTTTTTCTGCTAAGGGGACAGGACAACTTCACCACATCAAAGGGACAATGGACAGGGCCATGTACCGTCAAATCTTGGGTGAGAACCTCCTTCCCTCAGCCAGGGCATTGCAAATGGGTTGTGGATGGGTATTCCAGCATGACAATGACCCAAAACACACGGCCAAGGCAACAAAGGAGTGGCTCAAGCAGAAGCACATTAAGGTCCTGGAGTGGCCTAGCCAGTCTCCAGACCTTAATCCCATAGAAAATCTGTGGAGGGAGCTGAAGGTTTGAGTTGCCAAACGTCAGCCTCGAAACCTTAATTACTTGGAGAAGATCTGCAAAGAGGAGTGGGACAAAATCCCTCCTGAGATGTGTCCAAACCTGGTGGCCAACTACAAGAAACATCTGACATCTGTGATTGCCAACAAGGGTTTTGCCACCAAGTACTAAGTCATGTTTTGCAGAGGGGTCAAATACTTATTTCCCTCACTAAAATGCAAATCAATTTATAACATTTTTGACATGCGTTTTTCTGGATTTTTGTTGTTGTTATTCTGTCTGTCACTGTTCAAATAAACCTACCATTAACATGATAGACTGATCATGTCTTTGTCAGTGGGCAAACGTACAAAATCAGCAGGGGATCAAATACTTTTTTCCCTCACTGTACATTTAAAAGGTAGGGGCGTGGATCAGAAAACCAGTCAGTATCTGGTCTGGTGTGACCACCATTTGCCTCATGCGGCATGACATATCTAATTTGCATAGAGTTGATTGTGGCCTGTGGAATATTGTCACACTCTTTAATTGCTGTGCGAAGTTTCTGGATATTTTGGCGGAAACTGGAAAACGCTGTTGTACACGTCGATCCAGAGCATCTCAGACATGGTCAATGGGTGACATGTCTGGTGAGTATGCAGGGCATGGAAGAACTGACATTTTCATCTTCCAGGAATTGTGTACAGATCCTTGCGACATGGGGCTGTGCATTATATGGCGGCGGATGAATGGCACGAAAATGGGCCTCAGGATCTTGTCACGGTATCGCAGTGCATTCAAATTGCCATCGATAAAATACAATTGTGTTCATTGTCCATAGTATATGCCTGCCCATACCATAACCCCACCGCTACCATGGGTCACTCTGTTCACAACGTTGACATCAGCAAACCACTCGCCCACACAACGCCATACACATGGTCTGCGGTTGTGAGGCCGGTTGGACTTACTGCCAAATTCTCTAAAACAAAGTTGGAAGTGGCTAATTTAACATAGAATTCTCTGACAACAGCTCTGGTGGACATTCTTGCAGCCAGCATGCCAATTGCACGCCCCATCAAAACTTGAGACATCTGTGGCATTATGTTTTGTGACAAAACTGCACATTTTAGAGTGGCCTTTTATTGTCCCCAGCACAAGGTGCACCTGTGTAATTATCATGCTGTTTAATCAGCTTCTTGATATGCCACACTCGTCAGGTGGATGGATTATCTTGGCAAAGTAGAAATGCTCACTAACAGGTATGTAAACAAATTTGTGCACAAAATCTGAGATAAATAAGCTTTTTGTGCGTATGGAGCATTTCTGGTAACTTTTATTTCAGCTCATGAAACATGGGACCAACACTTTAAATGTTGAGTGTATATTTTTGTTCAGTGTACATACAGTGCCTTGCGAAAGTATTCATCCCCCTTGGCTTTTTTCCTATTTTGTTGCATTACAACTTGTAATTTCATGGAATTTACATACACAAAATAGTCCAAATTGGTGAAGTGAAATGAAAAAGATAACTTGTTAAAAAAAATTCGACAAAATAAATAACGGAAAAGTGGTGCGTGCATATGTATTCACCCCCTTTGCTATTAAGCCCCTAAATAAGATCTGGTGCAACCAGTTACCTTCTGAAGTCACATAATTAGTTAAATAAAGTCCACCTGTGTCAAGTGTCACATGTTCTGAAAGGCCCCAGAGTCTGCAACACCACTAAGCAAGGGCCACCACAAGGCAGCACCATGAAGACAAAAGAGCTCTCCAAACAGGTCAGGCATGTGGGAGAGTCCCCAAACATATGGAAGAAGGTACTCTGGTCAGATGAGATTAAAATTGAGCTTTTTGGCCATCAAGGAAAACGCTATGTCTGGCGCAAAGCCAACACCTCTCATCACCCCGAGAACACCATGGTGGTGGCAGCATCATGCTTTGGGGATGTTTTTCATCGGCAGGGACTGGGAAACTGGTCAGAATTGAAGGAATGATGGATGGCGCTAAATACAGGGAAATTCTTGAGGGAAACCTGTTTCAGTCTTGGAATGTCTTGGAATGCCCTAGTCAAAGCCCAGACCTCAATCCAATTGAGAATCTGTGGTATGACTTAAAGATTGCTGTACACCAGCGGAATCCATCCAACTTGAAGGAGCTGGAGCAGTTTTGCCTTGAAGAATGAGCAAAAATCCCAGTGGCTAGATGTGCCAAGCTTATAGAGACATACCCCAAGAGACTTGCAGCTGTAATTGCTGCAAAAGGTGGCTCTACAGAGTATTGACTTTGGGGGGGGGGGGTGAATAGTTATGCACGCTCAAGTTTTCAGTTTTTTGGTATTTTTTCTTGTTCGTTTCACAATAAAACATATTTTACATCTTCAAAGTGGTAGGCATGTTGTGTAAATCAAATGATACAACCCCCCCAAAAAATCCATTTTAATTCCAGGTTGTAAGGCAACAAAATAGGAAAAATGCCAAGTGGGGTGAATACTTTCACAAGCCACTGTAGATGGCATCAACCAGTAAAGTAAAGAGCAATGATGTATATAAACCCTGGATTGCTGATGCAATGTGTTGGACATTGAGAGCCTTGGAAGCAACTGTTCGGCCATATTGGCACTCCCCGGTAGGAGCAGTCCTCCATAGGAATAAATGGAATTCTATTCTACAGTATTTTAATTAAATGTTTCATGGATAAAATTACATGTAATTAAGTATTTTGTTGTTGTTGTAGTGGTGAACATACCACTAGAAATCCCTAAAAAATATACTTTAAGGAAGAACAAAAAAAATCTTGTTTTTGTTTAGCTCACAGAATAAAATTTTAAAAGTATTCATTAAGGTGTCTGTAATAGAATAAACGTGGCAAAAACTTCCTAAATATATTTTACAATGGTGTAGGAGTGCCAAGATGGAGGTGCGGTGGCTTCAACGCAGTGCCCCGGCCCTATCAGTCATCTAAATAATTGGTAAAGAGTGCACATTATAGGAACACAGTTTGTTAACGTTATAGCCAGCCATGCAAAATCGGATAGACAGACAAGATGCACCCCGTGGAGGTATTTCTGGACATAGTTTATAATGCTTTGGTTTATATCGAATAGGCCAACTGCCTACCAACACATTAACTGAAGAGGCTCTACTTCATATCTGCCAATGTTTGAGTTATCAATATTGACACTCTTATCATGTCAGGAAGATAAGGCGGCCAATGTCAAACCAATAGTAAGACTGCTCTCACATGAGGACCAGTGTGATTAGCCTAACTTCCATCTATACCTGCAGGGACTTTCCAGCCAGACCAACTGTGGTATTTTTTTATGCTCCTACTTGTCAATAATCATTTATCTATCGTTTCTCTACCCCAGTATCCCAGTTGCTGCACTTCTTCTCTTTGCTTCGACTGGTTTCCGGCTCCGATCATCTCAGCCCTCCTAACCTAATCCCCATCGTTGCCTGTGTTATACGGATCCCAACCACTGCCCTCACGTATCGGAATTCCACTGCTGCTCCAGACCCTCCTGCTGCCTCTCTTGGCGTGGCCCAGCACAGGCGTTCTCATTCAGGATAGCCTCTGCACAGCTCCATGGCGGGTCGTGGAGGACCGGCGCGACCCAACGGCCCAGCGACAGGCAACAAGATCTGCCAGTTCAAGCTGGTGCTGCTGGGGGAATCGGCGGTGGGCAAGTCCAGCCTGGTGCTACGCTTCGTCAAGGGCCAGTTTCAGGAGTACCAAGAGAGCACCATCGGAGGTGAGAGTTATTCAGTATTTTTTTAAAACCATTGTTTGTGCAGGCTATTTTCTGGTGGTTTGATATGACCCACTGCAGGTTTCCCTATTCCATCAAGTGGTCTTTTATATCTGTGATATTTGGCTTTACTAGCTCTCGTTGCAAGAATGGCATCACCATATCATGGCTGTTAAAAACAAAGCAAATTAGGTCAGACAAGAGGAAAGAGTGTAGGATTGACACTGAATGGCATGCATGTTGGTGTGGCTTTTGTAGTCAACGCAAGGTATGCTCAAGCAAGTCAATGTAGAGTACGATGCTACCACACTGGAGATGTCATTAACGTCCCAAAAATGAAATGGATTAACACTGTAGAACAGAGTCTCTGCCTACCATTAGCCTATCGTATGCAATGCACAATAGTGAACTCCAGTCAACGATAGAGGGCACAGGAAATGGCCGCAATGTAAGAATTTTTAGAGGGGTCAAAGGTTGACATGTCTCATGGGTCCTCTTTACTGCTGGAGAAATGGGCCCTGTTCAAATATGCAATCTTTCTTTCTTCCTCCCTTCTAGTAGGTAATCACTGATTTAATGACCCAGTCATGTCAGTGATTAGGCTCAATAAAGGGAGGTAGGAAGGAAGGATGTCAAAGAATTGGATCGAGGCCATGGACTCTGTGCTGTCATGTGATTGTGGAATTCTCAGAAAGCCAAGGGAAGTGTTTGTAGTGTACCGACATGGGATTAGCATTTCTCTCCGTGGCTCTGATCCTTAGAAGCAGCAGTGCTGTGCTCGTTAGGAAGTTAATCCTCCAACCTGTTTTGCAGGCCATGGTTAAAAAGCACAAATGATACCAAATCGTACATTTTTCTCAAATTGCCTTGCATAACATTATGAGCCTATTACAAAGTACCCTTATTGTTGATAGGATCCATTTTTTTGTTTCACCTTTTAGTCACTGTGGACTATCAATTGAAGTCACTTTGATTAATTTTTTTATTTCACCTTTATTTAACCAGGTAAGCCAGTTGAGAACACGTTCTCATTTACAACTGCGACCTGGCCAAGATAAAGCAAAGCAGTGCGATAAAAACAACAACACAGAGTTACATATGGGGTAAAACAAAACATAAAGTCAAAATACAACAGAAAATATATATACAGTGTGTGCAAATGTAGCAAGTTATGGAGGTAAGGCAATAAATAGGCCATAGTGCAAAATAATTACAATTAGTATTAACACTGGAATGATAGATGCGCAAGAGATGATGTGCAAATAGAGATACTGGGGTGCAAATGAGCAAAATAAATAACAATATGGGGATGAGGTAGTTGGGTGGGCTAATTTCAGATGGGCTGTGTACAGGTGCAGTGATCGGTAAGGTGCTCTGACAACTGATGCTTAAAGTTAGTGAGGGCGATAAGAGTCTCCAGCTTCAGAGATTTTTGCAGTTCGTTCCAGTCATTGGCAGCAGAGAACTGGAAGGAATGGCTGCCAAAGGAGGTGTTGGCTTTGGGGATGACCAGTGAGATATACCTGCTGGAGCGCATACTACGGGTGGGTGTTGCTATGGTGAGCAATGAGCTAAGATAAGGCGGGAATTTGCCTAGCAGTGATTTATAGATGACCTGGAGCCAGTGGGTTTGGCGACGAATATGTAGTGAGGACCAGCCAACAAGAGCGTACAGGTCACAGTGGTCGGTAGTATATGGGGCTTTGGTGACAAAACGGATGGCACTGTGATAGACTACATCCAATTTGCTGAGTAGAGTGTTGGAAGCTATTTTGTAAATGACATCTCCGAAGTCAAGGATCGGTAGGATAGTCAGTTTTACGAGGGCATGTTTGGCAGGATGAGTGAAGGAGGCTTTGTTGCGAAATAGGAAGCCGATTCTAGATTTAACTTTGGATTGGAGATGCTTAATGTGAGTCTGGAAGGAGAGTTTACAGTCTAACCAGACACCTAGGTATTTGTAGCTGTTCACATACTCTAGGTCAGACCCGTCGAGAGTAGTGATTCTAGTCGGGTGGGCGGGTGCCAGCAGCGTTCGATTGAAGAGCATGCATTTAGTTTTACTAGTGTGTAAGAGCAGTTGGAGGCTACGGAAGGAGTGTTGTTTGGCATTGAAGCTCGTTTGGAGGTTTGTTAACACAGTGTCCAATGAAGGGCCAGATGTATACAAAATGGTGTCGTCTGCGTAGAGGTGGATCTGAGAGTCACCAGCAGCAAGAGCGACATCATTGATATACACGGAGACAAGAGTCGGCCCAAGAATTGAACCCTGTGGCACCCCCATAGAGACTGCCATAGGTCCAGACAACAGGCCCTCCGATTTGACACATTGAACTCTATCTGAAAAGTAGTTGGTGAACCAGGCGAGGCAGTCATTTGAGAAACCAAGGCTATTTAGTCTGCCAATAAGAATGCGGTGGTTGACAGAGTCGAAAGCCTTGGCCAGGTCGATGAAGACGGCTGCACAGTACTGTCTATTATCGATCACGGTTATAATATTGTTTAGGACCTTGAGCGTGGCTGAGGTGCACCCATGACCAGCTCGGAAACCGGATTACATAGCGGAGAAGGTACGGTGTGTCTCCTGAGTGGCGCAGTGGTCTAAGGCACTGCATCGCAGTGCTAACTGTGCCACTAGAGATCCTGGTTCGAATCCAGGCTCTGTCGCAGCCGGCCGCGACCAGGAGACTCATGGGCGGCGCACAATTGGCCCAGCGTCGTCCAGGGTAGGGGAGGGAATGGCCGGCAGGGATGTAGCTCAGTTGATAGAGCATGGCGTTTGCAACGCCAGGGTTGTGGGATCGATTCCCACGGGGGCCAGTATAAAAAAAAAAAAAAAAAAAATGTATTCACTAACTGTAAGTCGCTCTGGATAAGAGCGTCTGCTAAATGACTAAAATGTAAATGTAATGTAAATGTGTGATTCTAAATGGTCGGTGATCTGTTTGTTAACTTGGCTTTCAAATACTTTCGAAAGGCAGGGCAGGATGGATATAGGTCTGTAACAGTTTGGATCTAGAGTGTCACCCCCTTTGAAGAGGGGGATGACCGTGGCAGCTTTCCAATCTCTGGGGATCTCAGACGTTACAAAAGAGAGGTTGAACAGGCTAGTAATAGGGGTTGCGACAATTTCGGCGGCTATTTTTAGAAAGTAAGGGTCCAGATTGTCTAGTCCAGATGATTTGTAGGGGTCCAGATTTTGCAGCTCTTTCAGAACATCAGCTGTCTGAATTTGTGTGAAGGAGAAGCGGGGGGGGCATGGGCAAGTTGCAGCGGAGGGTGCAGCGCTGGTGGCCGGGGTAGTGGTAGCCAGGTGGAAAGCATGGCCAGCCGTAGCGAAATGCTTGTTGAAATTATCGATTATTGTAGATTTATCGGTGGTGATAGTGTTTCCTAGCCTCAGTGAAGTGGGCAGCTGGGAGGAGGTGCTCTTATTCTCCATGGACTTTACAGTGTCTCAAAACTTTTTTGAGTTAGTGCTACAGGATGCACATTTCTGTTTGATAAAGCTAGCCTTTGCTTTCCAAACTGCTTGTGTATATTGGTTCCTAACTTCCCTGAAAAGTTGCATATCACGGGGGCTATTCGATGCTAATGCAGTACGCCACAGGATGTTTTTGTGCTGGTCAAGGGCAGTCAAGTCTGAGGAGAACCAGGGGCTATATCTGTTATAAGTTCTGAATTTTTTGAATGGTGCATGCTTATTTAAGATTGAGAGGAAAGCACTTTTAAAGAACAACCAGGCTAAAAAGGAAAGTTTTACATCTTCCTAAGTCTAAGGGTGGTTTAACCTTCCAGACTTGGAATTGTATCAACTTGCCACCCAGGGCTTTTACTTCCGACACATACTTAAATGTACTAAAGAGGAGTAGTGGGTATATATTGAAGATGCGCATGCTCATCTAAAGAATCTTTTCACATGTCTATTTTCAATGGATAAAGCTAAGAAAATTAACAACTTCATAGTTAAGAAATCTATAACAATATGGAAGAAAATGTAACTTATTCTACAACAACCAATATCACGCCTTAAAAACACAACCCTTGGATAGCTTTTCAGAATTCACAGATAAATTGGTCCACATGGAAAAGTAAAGGCATAGAAACTGTAAATGACTTGGTAATAGGAATAAAATTAATTTCCATGACAGAATTAAAAAGCGATTTTTGACTGACCAATGTAAATATTTTAAAATACATGCAACTTAAAAGTGTCATATCAAGACATTTTGATTTGAAATCTTTTGGACATCAGAGCAATCTTGAGGGAATCCTATTTGAGTCAGAAAACGATATTCATGTGATCTCTTAGAAAAAGTATATAAACAATTGGAACCCAGACTTAAAAATAACTGATATTGGCACAAAACTAACAAATTTACAGTGAACTAAAATGTGTGCTTAATCCAGTATAAACTAATCTGTAGAATTTATTACACAAGACAAAATTCACAAATTCTACAACACAATGGCAGAGTCGTGTCTTACAGTGGCTTGCGAAAGTATTCAACCCCCTTGGCATTTTCCCTATTTTGTTGCCTTACAACCTGGAATTAAAATGGAATTTTGGGGGGTTTGTATCATTTTGATTTACACAACATGCCTACCACTTTGAAGATGCAAAATATATTTTATTGTGAAACAAACAAGAAATAAGACAAAAAAACAGAACTTGAGCAGGCATAACTATTCACCCCTCCAAAGTCAATACTTTGTAGAGCCACCTTTTGCAGCAATTACAGCTGCAAGTCTCTTGGGGTATGTCTCTATAAGCTTGGCACATCTAGCCACTGAGATTGTTGCCCATTCTTCAAGGCAAAACTGCTCCAGCTCCTTCAAGTTGGATGGGTTCCGCTGGTGTACAGCAATCTTTAAGTCATACCACAGATTCTCAATTGGATTGAGGTCTGGGCTTTGACTAGGCCATTCCAAGATATTTAAATGTTTTCCCTTTAAACCACTCGAGTGTTGCTTTAGCAGTATGCTTAGGGTCATTGTCCTGCTGGAAGGTGAACCTCCGTCCCAGTCTCAAATCTCTGGAAAACTGAAACAGGTTTCCCTCAAGAATTTCCCTGTATTTAGCGCCATCCATCATTCCTTCAATTCTGACCAGTTTCCCAGTCCCTGCCAATGGAAAAACATCCCCACAGCATGATGCTGCCACCACCATGCTTCACTGTGGGGATGGTGTTCTCGGGGTGATGAGAGGTGTTGGGTTTGCGCCAGACATAGAGTTTTCCTTGATGGCCAAAAAGCTTGATTTTAGTCTCATCTGACCAGAGTACCTTCTTCCATATGTTTGGGGAGTCTCCCACATGCCTTTTGGTGAACACTTTTCTTGAAGCAATGGCTTTTTTCTGGCCACTCTTCCGTAAAGCCCAGCTCTGTGGAGTGTACCGCTTAAAGTGGTCCTATGGACAGATACTCCAATCTCCGCTGTGGAGCTGTGCAGCTCCTTCAGGGTTTTCTTTGGTCTCTTGTTGCCTCTCTGATTAATGCCCTCCTTGCCTGGTCCTTGAGTTTTGGTGGGTGGCCCTCTCTTGGCAGGTTTGTTGTGGTGCCATATTCTTTCCATTTTTTAATAATGGATTTAATGGTGCTCCGTGGGATGTTCAAAGTTTCGGATATTTTTTTATAACCCAACCCTGATCTGTACTTCTCCACAACTTTGTCCCTGACCTGTTTGGAGAGCTCCTTGGTCTTCATGGTGCCGCTTGCTTGGTGGTGCCCCTTACTTAGTGGTGTTGCAGACTCTGGGGCCTTTCAGAACAGGTGTATATATACTGAGATCATGTGACAGATCATGTGACACTTAGATTGCACACAGGTGGACTTCTGAAGGTAATTGGTTGCCTTCTGAAGGTAATTGGTTGCACCAGATCTTATTTAGGGGCTTCATAGAAAAGGGGGTGAATATATATGCACGCACCACTTTTCCGTTATTTTTTTCATTTCACTTCACCATTTTGGACTATTTTGTGTATGTCCATTACATGAAATCCAAATAAAAATCCATTTAAATTACAGGTTGTAATGCAACAAAATAGGAAAAACGCCAAGGGGGATGAATACTTTTCCAAGGCACTGTAAGTGTAAAACTAACATTGACTCAATAATCCAGGCCTTCTGGGAATGCTATTAAATCCAAGAGTTATGGGCGGAGTTAGAAAGTTGGCTGTATGAAGTAGTATAATGTAAATGTACTTTTAATCCGTCTCTGCATATTTCAAGACATGGCATATGAGGGTACAGTGAGATACCCGATGGGACAATACTTTTCTCGTCAATCATTTAGAAAAAATGTATACTTAACTGGAAATCAACCAATCCTCCACCGTTAACACAATGGAAAGGTCAAATAGTTTATCTTAATGTTGAAAGTGCATGGGCAACGGAGAGAAACAAAATGGTGCAGTTTGAGGCCATGTGGCGGAGAGTGATGCGGGCGCTGGAGATGGGAGTGTGAGCAGGTGGGTCTGGGCAGGGGTGATGTTGTGGATGTTTGTGTGTGTCTGTATGTGTATGTTTTGTACTGTAAAAATAGAACAGTATCCAAGTTACTTTTTTTTAACGCCTCTGCGATTTTTAACGTGTCTGTACGAGTCAGTTGGTAGGCCTCCTCTGCGTAGAGCAAATTGAGGAACTGCAACTGAAAGCTTTCCCTGCACTGGATAGGTTTTCAAGTGCCAGAAATGACAAAACAAATGTTGACATTGAAGAGAGTGGGAGAGAATGACATGTCAAGCCCGCGTTGTGGCGCACTCAATTGTAGTACAACGTTACTGATAGACGTGCAGGTATAAATGTATTAAGTAGAATAGACCTGCCTCTCTGTCATGTAGAACAAGGAATAATGTCAGCTCTATATAAGACATTTCCAAATGTCATGAACACAGCTCTGTTTCCTCCACTGACATATCCTCTACCTTTTCTTCCCTCCCTTCCTCCATCTTGCTCTTTTCCAGCTGCCTTTCTCACACAGACTGTCTGCCTGGACGACACAACGGTCAAGTTTGAGATTTGGGACACGGCAGGCCAGGAGCGATACCACAGCCTGGCCCCCATGTACTACAGAGGAGCCCAGGCGGCCATTGTGGTCTATGACATCACCAACACAGTGCGTAAAGGCTCTTTATCTGCAGCAGTGTTTCCCCTTACCGTATAGGCAGGGCGTCCAATTGAAATTGAATGACCAGTGAAACCAATAGTTTTGATTCTTAAAGAATATAGCTTCTCAATGCTTTATGAGCTTAGTTCAACTCTCTTACCCTATCATAACAGTAATGTAAATGATGCATTCTGTGCCTTTTGCGTGTTTCACCAGGACACTTTTACGCGAGCAAAGAACTGGGTGAAGGAGCTGCAGAGACAAGCCAGCCCCAACATCGTCATCGCTCTGGCCGGGAACAAGGCCGACGTCGCCAACAAGAGAGCGGTCGATCTCCAGGTGAGAACAATTCCCACGCTGTGTGTGCGTTTGTTTCATTGATGTTTGACCACATAACAAAACAGTTAGCATGATAATAACAATATCAGATGCTGATGAGTCGATTGTTACAATTTATTTTGTCTTTCTTGTTGTGTCATAGGCCAAATGGTCTTCTACTGTTTGGTGTGGTGCTATGATAGTGTACATTTAAAACAAATATACAGTGCATTCGGAAAGTACTCAGACCCCTTCACTTTTTCCACATTTTGTTACGTTACAGCCTTATTCTAAAATGGATTAAATAGTTTTTTTCCCTCATCAATCTACACACAATACACCATAATGACTAAGCAAAACGTTTTTTAACGTTTTTGCACATTTATACAATTTAAAAAACCTGAAATCACATTTATGTAAGTATTCAGACCCTTTACTCAGTACTTTGTTGAAGCACCTTTGGCAGCGATTACAGCCTTGAGTCTTCTTGGGTATGACACTACAAACTTGGCACACCTGTATTTGGGGAGTTTCTCCCATTCTTCTCTACAGATCCTCTCAAGCTCTGTCAGGTTGGATGGGGAGCGTCACTGCACAGCTATTTTCAAGTCTCACCAGAGATGTTCGATCGGGTTCAAGTCCGGGCTCTGGTTGGGCCACTCAAGGACATTCAGAGACTGAAGCCACTCCTGCGTTGTCTTTGCTGTGTGCTTAGGGTCGTTGTCCTGTTGGAAGGTGAACCTTAGCCCCAGTCTGAGGTCCTGAGCGCTCTGGAGCAGGTTTTCATCAAGGATCTCTCTGTACTTTGCTCCGTTCATCTTTCCCTCGATCCTGACTAGTCTCCCAGTCCCTGCTGCTGAAAAACATCCCCACAGCATGATGCTGCCACCACCATGCTTCACCGTAGGGATGGTATTGGCCAGGTGATGAGCGGTACCTGGTTTTCTCCAGACGTGACGCTTGGCATTCAGGCCAAAGAGTTCAATCTTGGTTTCATCAGACCAGAGAATCTTGTTTCTCATGGACTGAGAGTCCTTTAGGTGCCTTTTGGCAAACTCCAAGCGGGCTGTCATGTACATTTTACTGAGGAGTGGCTTCCGTCTGGCCTCTCTACCATAAAGGCCTGATTGGTGGAGTGCTGCAGAGATGGTTGTCCTTCTGGAAGGTTCTCCCATCTCCACAGAAGAACTCTGGCGCGCTGTCAGAGTGACCATCGGATTCTTGGTCACCTCCCTAACCAAGGCCCTTCTCCACCGATTGCTAAGTTTGGCCGAGCGGCCAGCTCTAGGAAGAGTCTTGGTGGTTCCAAACTTCTTCCATTTAAGAATGATGGAGGCCACTGTGTTCTTTGGGACCTTCAATGCTGCAGACATTTTTTGGTACTCTTCCCCAGATTTGTGCCTCGACACAATCCTGTCTCGGAGCTCTACGGACAATTCCTTCGACCTCATGGCTTGGTCTTTGCTCTGACATGCACTATCAACTGTGGGACCTTATATAGACAGGTGTGTGCCTTTTACAAATAATGTCCAATCAATAGAATTTACCACAGGTGGACTCCAATCAAGTTGTAGGAACATCTCAAGGATGATCAATGGAAACAGGATGCACCTGAGCTCAATTTCAAGTCTCATAGCAAAGGGTCTGAATACTTATATAAAAAAGGTATTTCTGTTTATTTTGAGTACATTTGCTGAACATTTCTAAAAACCTGTTTTTCCCTTTGTCATTATGGGGTATTGTGTGTAGATTGATGAGGCAAAAAAAGAATGTAATCAATTTTAGAATAAGGCTGTAACGTAACAAAATGTGGAAAAAGTGAAGGGATCTGAATACTTTCCGAATGCACTGTATGTAAAACAGAAAACACATTGTCGTCCACAGATAGGACACAGATTATGCTTAGTCTTGGGCTAAAATGCATTGTCAATGGAGAATCTTAATTGAAATAGCTTTTTAGTCCAGGTCTAAACTTAATCTGTGTCCAGGATACCCCCCTTGATGCGTAAGAACATGTTATAGACTTGAATAATCATACAAAACTATGTAAAAATAATAGAATTGTCCTCTGTCTTTACAGGAAGCACAGGCCTATGCCGATGACAACAGTCTACTGTTCATGGAGACTTCAGCCAAGACAGCTATGAATGTCAACGAAATCTTCATGGCCATAGGTAAGCGCAACCATCTACCCAGTGAGTCCCAACTTACTCCAAGCACTATTGGCCTATAGTCCTCATCAATAATCATACAGTGGGGGAAAAAAGTATTTAGTCAGCCACCAATTGTGCAAGTTCTCCCACTTAAAAAGATGAGAGAGGCCTGTAATTTTCATCATAGGTACACGTCAACTATGACAGACAAAATGAGGAAAAAAAATCCAGAAAATCACATTGTAGGATTTTTTATGAATTTATTTGCAAATTACGGTGGAAAATAAGTATTTGGTCAATAACAAAAGTTTCTCAATACTTTGTTATATACCCTTTGTTGGCAATGACACAGGTCAAACGTTTTCTGTAAGTCTTCACAAGGTTTTCACACACTTGCTGGTATTTTGGCCCATTCCTCCATGCAGATCTCCTCTAGAGCAGTGATGTTTTGGGGCTGTCGCTGGGCAACACGGACTTTCAACTCCCTCCAAAGATTTTCTATGGGGTTGAGATCTGGAGACTGGCTAGGCCACTCCAGGACCTTGAAATGCTTCTTACGAAGCCACTCCTTCGTTGCCCGGGCGGTGTGTTTGGGATCATTGTCATGCTGAAAGACCCAGCCACGTTTCATCTTCAATGCCCTTGCTGATGGAAGGAGGTTTTCACTCAAAATCTCACGATACATGGCCCCATTCATTCTTTCCTTTACACGGATCAGTCGTCCTGGTCCCTTTGCAGAAAAACAGCCCCAAAGCATGATGTTTCCACCCCCATGCTTCACAGTAGGTATGGTGTTCTTTGGATGCAACTCAGCATTCTTTGTCCTCCAAACACGACGAGTTGAGTTTTTACCAAAAAGTTATATTTTGGTTTCATCTGACCATATGACATTCTCCCAATCCTCTTCTGGATCATCCAAATGCACTCTAGCAAACTTCAGACGGGCCTGGACATGTACTGGCTTAAGCAGGGGGACACGTCTGGCACTGCAGGATTTGAGTCCCTGGCGGCGTAGTGTGTTACTGATGGTAGGCTTTGTTACTTTGGTCCCAGCTCTCTGCAGGTCATTCACTAGGTCCCCCCGTGTGGTTCTGGGATTTTTGCTCACCGTTCTTGTGATCATTTTGATTATATGTGGTCTTGTATGTCTTCCATTTCCTAATAATTGCTCCCACAGTTGATTTCTTCAAACCAAGCTGCTTACCTATTGCAGATTCAGTCTTCCCAGCCTGGTGCAGGTCTACGATTTTGTTTCTGGTATCCTTTGACAGCTCTTTGGTCTTGGCCATAGTGGAGTTTGGAGTGTGACTGTTTGAGGTTGTGGACAGGTGTCTTTTATACTGATAACAAGTTCAAACAGGTGCCATTAATACAGGTAACGAGTGGAGGACAGAGGAGCCTCTTAAAGAAGAAGTTACAGGTCTGTGAGAGCCAGAAATGTTGCTTGTTTGTAGGTGACCAAATACTTATTTTCCACCATAATTTGCAAATAAATTCATAAAAAATCCTACAATGTGATTTTCTGGATTTTTTTTCCTCAATTTGTCTGTCATAGTTTATGTGTACCTATGATGAAAATTATAGGCCTCTCTCATCTTTTTAAGTGGGAGAACTTGCACAATTGGTGGCTGACTAAATACTTTTTTCCCCCACTGTACGTCCTGTGTGATCATTCTATGGGTTTATCTCAATAGCCTAAATAGACCTCCACCCTTACATCTTTGCTACTTTGAAAACACAGGTATAGGATGAATTCAAAATGGTGAATGCCTACTACATTTACTTTTCATTTTTGTTATTTAGAAAACACTCTTATCCAGAGCGACTTAAAGTCAAGAACTACCAATACAATGCAAACAGGATAGGAATTGGCTTTCGGCTACTAGGTATAGGCTTTCACTAGTCCAGATGGAGAGGAATCCTATGTTCCTTCATAGTTTTCCATTGGATGGTCCGTGTCTCTGATATTCCCACTCTACTCTACTCTACTCTACTCTCTGTCCTTGTAGCCAAGAAGCTGCCCAAGAACGAGGCTCAGGGCGCAGCTGGGGCAGGGGGCCGGACCAGAGCAGGAGTGGACCTTCAGGAGCCGGCCCTCCAGGGCCGCAGCGGCCAATGCTGTGGCGGGAGCAATTAGCCGATAGCCTAATGAACTGACTGAACGAGCCCAGAACACGAATATTGTCAAGACGACAACCAAGCACGGCCTAGAGAGTAACGACGCTGGAGCCATTCTCACACGGAGAACTGCACTCAAACGGAGAATAACAGCCGAGCTGATCTGCCCCCCCCCAAATCGAAAGGAGACCCTTTTTTAAAATCATAAGCTAGATTGTTTCAGTGCGTCCCTCTCACATACTCTCTATCTCTGCTATACCTCCCTTTCCATCTTCCCCCTCTCTCACTTTATTCGAATACTAACTGGATTATGTCTTAAAGTTTTTTTTAAAGAACAGAAAATCTTGTATCGATAGATCATACCATCCACTATTAGCCTTTTTGTCCCGGTGACAGGTGCATGTCGCAAAGGTTGTTGTATTTTCCTCTGTCAAATCATTTTCTTCCTTCCGTGTTGGTTTTCCTCGTCTGGAAGAGGGAAAATATGCTCCAAGGGGACAATGTGTCTTACACTCATTCTCCAAATCTGTCCATTTTGTAAATTAATATTAGCCTTTGTTTATTATTACTGTTCTTCTTGCACGAGTAGGGGATGATTATATAGGACACACCTAATGTGGTTTCCGACACGTGCGATAAATTCAACTGTAACGGTAACGCAGTGTGCATTTATCACCTAGTACATCAGACAGTCATTTTTAGCGTCATGTATTTGAATCTGTAAGATAAATGTAAGAATACATTGTAAGACCTGAAAAAAATAAAAAATATGGCAAGATTTTCTTGGCCAAAATGTAAATTGTGAATGGGAATACGATAAAAAAAATGGTATAACATCATTTGTTCACCACCAATCAAACAGAGATTATTATTTTGGGTGGTAGCACGTGGTAGACCAGCCTCCGACATGAGATTAAATAATGTATGTTGTTATCAAATAGACTTGTACATCTTGTTGTTTGAGGTCAAAAGTACAGTATTTGCTGTGTTGCTGGATTGATAGAGTAAGGAACCATGGTCCTTATCAATCAATTTTCAATCAATTTTATTTTATATAGCCCTTCTTACATCAGCTAATATCTCGAAGTGCTGTACAGAAACCCAGCCTAAAACCCCAAACAGCTAGTAATGCAGGTGTAGAAGCACGGTGGCTAGGAAAAACTCCCTAGAAAGGCAAAACCTAGGAAGAAACCTAGAGAGGAACCAGGCTATGAGGGGTGGCCAGTCCTCTTCTGGCTGTGCCGGGTGGAGATTATAACAGAACCATGCCAAGATGTTCAAAAATGTTCATAAGTGACAAGCATGGTCAAATAATAATCAGGAATAAATCTCAGTTGGCTTTTCATAGCCGATCATTAGAGTTTAAAACAGCAGGTCTGGGACAGGTAGGGGTTCCATAACCGCAGGCAGAACAGTTTAAACTGGAATAGCAGCAAGGCCAGGCGGACTGGGGATAGCAAGGAGTCACCACGGCCGGTAGTCCCGACGTATGGTCCTAGGGCTCAGGTCTCTCAGTTGGCTTTTCATAGCCGATCATTTAGAGTTGAAAACAGCAGGTCTGGGACAGGTAGGGGTTTCGTAGCCGCAGGCAGAACAGTTGAAACTGGAATAGCAGCAAGGCCAGGCGGACTGGGGGCAGCAGGGTGTCATCATGCCCGGTAGTCCTGACGTATGGTCCTAGGGCTCAGGTTCTCAGAGAGAAAGAGAGAACGAGAGAATTAGAGAGAGCATACTTAAATTCACACAGGACACTGGATAAGACAGGAGAAGTACTCCAGGTATAACCAACTAACCCCAGCCCCCCGACACATAAACTACTGCAGCATAAATACTGGAGGCTGAGACAGGAGCGGTCCGGAGACACTGTGGCCCCATCCGAAGAAACCCCCGGACAGGGCCAAACAGGAAGGATATAACCCCACCCACTCCGCCAAAGCACAGCCCCCGCACCACTAGAGGGATATCCCCAACCACCAACTTACAATCCTGAGACAAGGCCGAGTATAGCCCACAGAGGTCTCCACCACAGCACAAACCATTTTTCTACCTTATTGGGGGAGAAATTAGCATCGTCCACTTCACCCTATTCAGCACAGCCAACCAGCGATCCTGTGAACAAGACGATGATAAGGAAATGTACCCCTCTTCTACATCACATCAATACTGGACTGTTACAGTTTGTCTTGCACGAACCCCTGCTTTCCTTCCCTGAATCATTTTTCTACTGTGTTAACGCCTAGTGCTGAATCCTGACGACTTCAACTTTCGCACAGACCTGCCATTGACATCAATGCAACATTTGTACAAACAAAAAAATTATTGCAAAAAGTAAGAATGCATCCCTTTAAACATTCCCCCATACTATCTACAATGAACAAAAATATAAAGTTGGTGGATATTGACAGGAACTGGAACACGCTGTCGTACACGTCGATCCAGAGCATCCCAAACATGCTCAATGGGTGACATGTCTGGTGAGTATGCAGGCCATGGAGGAACTGGGTAAATGTTCAGCTTCCAGGAATTGTGTACAGATCCTTGCAACATTGGGCTGTGCATTATCATGCTGAAACATGAGGTGATGGCGGCGGATGAATGGCACGACAATGGGCTTTAAAAAAAAAATGGGCCTCAGGATCTCGTCACTGTATCTCTATGCATTAAAATTGCCATTGATAAAATGCAATTGTGTTCGTTGTCTGTAGCTTATGCCTGCCCATACCATAACCCCACCGCCACCATGGGGCACTCTGTTCACAACGTTGACATCAGCAAACTGCTCGCCCACACGATGCCATCTGCCCGGTACAGTTGAAACCGGGATTCATCTGTGAAGAGCACACTTCTCCAGTGAGCATTTCCCCACTGAAGTCTGTTAAAACAATAAACTGCAGTCAGGTCAAGACCCTGGTGAGGACAATGAGCATGCTGATGAGCTTCCCTGAGACGGTTTCTGACAGTTTGTGCTGTATCTCAATACAAGCGTTGAAATTGTTGCATGTTGCATTTATATTTTTGTTCAGTATAGTTATATAGTGGATATTCTTTCCTTTAAGAGCCTAATTATACTTAAAAAATATATAAATGCAACAATTTCAAAGATTTTGCTGAGTTACAGTTCATATAAGGAAATCAGTTAATTTAAATAAATAAATTAGGCACTAATCTGTGGATTTCAACACCTTACATGTTGCGTTTTCATAGGAATGTTCCAGTAATGTGCAATAAATGTTTACAGGAGACCATTCCCTTAATGTCAAACATAATCTACCCAGAACGTGGTTATGATGTTCTCAGAATATTCAATATTATTAATGTTCTAGACATGTTTCCTGGGACGTTGCAAGAACCTTCCTGTCCAATGAGGTTTAAAACAGGACGTTCTTTCATGGTCTCCTGGAGGTGTTTGTCTAGTTCCCAGCTTGTTCCGTGGAAGTCCTTAAAGACGTTGTAGGACTTCGCCTGACGGTCCCCTTGTTACTGTTGCCGAGCCCATCAAGGCCCTGGGACCGGTTGCACCAGTTGGTCGTAAGTGGGTCGTAACTCTACGTCTGACGTAAAATGCGCTAAACGTCGGACCTAAAAAGTGGACTTGTTGTGCCATCTGGGAGCAGTGGTGGACAAAGTACTCAATCGTCATACTTGAGTAAAAGTAAAGATACCTTAATAGAAAATGACTAAAGTGAAAGTCACCCAATAAAATACCACTTGAGTAAAAGTATTTGGTTTTAAATATACTTAAGTCTTAAAAGCTAGAATGTACTTAAGTATCAAAAGTAAAAGTATAAACCATTTGAAATTCCTTATTTTAAGCAAACCAGATGCCACAATCTTCTTTTTTTACGCATAGCCAGGGGCACTCCAACACTCAGACATAATTTACAAACGAAGCATTTGTGTTTAGTGAGTCCGCCAGATCAGAGGCAGTAGGAATGACCAGGGATGTTCTCTTGATAAGTGTATGAATTGGACCATTTTCCTGTCAAAATGTAACGAGTACTTTTGGGTGTCAGGGAAAATGTATGGAGTAAAACGTACATTATTTTCTATAGGAATGTAGTGAAGTAAAAGTAAAAGTTGGCAAAAATATAAATATAAATGATAAAGTACAGATACACCAAAAAACAACAGTATTTTTACTTAAGTACATTACACCACTGCCTGGGAGTAGATTCTACGCCTAGTAGGGAGCAGGCATAGGGTGTTAAATTTGGACTCTCTTCTTTCGTGATATGTACAGAAAATAATAGCAATCTATATTTTCTAAAGTATGTGAGTCTAGCGTTCATATTTCATAACCTCCGCAGTCTTTTCAAGTTGCCTATGCACGAGTCAATAGCAAAATAATACACTTGATTTATGCTACATAGCATGCTAAATGTGTCTAATAAGATATTAGCAAACGAATAGATGAGCTGCCACCTCCACTTATTTGCCAAGACAGAGATCAAATAACAAAATATACAGTGAAACAAAATCACATTGATTGATTATCAGACAAGTCAAGGACTTTTAGTCGGGATATAGCCTAGGCTACTACACGAAAGTAGTAGAACGTGAAGAGCAAAATAAGGCAAATGTTTGCCGTTTTTAATATGATAATTGATGACCAATGAGCCCCACCCCGCTGCCCGCTATCTACAAAAGGTTTTGCTGACGTGCTAATTGAGTGACTGCTAATGCACAACCAAACTTCGAAACTGCACCTTGTGTATTCTATTATTCTAACTCTCAACAGTAAGTTAGGACCCCGACTGAGTATCCCCCCACAAAATACATTTTTTTATTTAAAATTGGGCTGCGTCCTGCTGCGTCCAGTTGCCCATCCCTTCTTTAAAGTATTTAAAACGGTTGGATGACTTTGGGAGTTTCAGTAATCAACAATATGATAAATGCCTTCAATGGCAATAGCCTACTTTATTCCAATATTTTCGTCATTTTAGTGATATTCATTCCCACATTAATTATCGATTGAAACATCCAGTTGTGATTAAGAAAACGTGCATGCATAGTGGTGATGCGACGTGATGAGCGAAGCTACATGCATCACAATGTTTAGAACTGCCACGAGTAACGGGCGCTGCCTTTCAATCATCATTATGAAGCATCATGAACGCACATTGCTTATGCCGGACCTAGCTACGACTAGTCTTATTTTTGGTTGGTGCAACGGGT